ATTATAAATCTTAAATCTGTGAAAGAAGAAGGCATAGACTATTTCTTACTTCCTAAAGAGGATGAACAATCATGTGGTCCTATTATTTCTCCTTCAGTATTTTTAGAAAGCCGCACTTCTGAAGATATCCGTTTTCTTCTTGAAGACGTACTCGCAGTTCCACGATTGAAGCACGAGAAATATTGGAAAGAACATGTTATTTTCCATTTAAGTTCACAAGAACCAGATATCAAAGATAAAGTTATAAAAGAGCTTTTTAAGCGATGGGAAATCATTCTCGATTCACGTGCAGCATTGAAAACACTTTCTGAGATAGCATTTGTTGTAGTTACAACATCTTCAACTAGTCTTATCTTAAAAAAGCCAACTGAAATTTTTACTCCCGATAAACGACAAATAAAAGATTTATTTTTTTATGATGAACCATTCTTTCCAATTGATAAATATTTAGATCATCTCCCTAAATTGCGTAAATTAGGAATGAAAGATACAATGACTGTTGACGATGTTATCAATCGTGTAATCATATTTACTTCAAAAAGAGATATTTACCAGGACAGTGAGATACGTGAAAAATCTCTCTTGCTTTTAAAATACATTGATGACAATTATCAAACGCTTAAGTCTACAAAATCATTACCGGAAAAGGTTTTAACGGAAACATGGATTCCAGTCACGAATCCAGATGGACAATATGCATTTTCAAAAGCTTCAGATTGTCGAGATAAACTCACATCAGATCTTGTTTCTCATAGAATGCCGACAGTTAATTATTTTGTTATTAATGAAGACTTACGTAAATTGTTTGGATGGGATATATATCCTACAATTGAAGAGATAACAGAACAGTTATTTAAATTATTGCATGAATTAAAGATAAAGGAAGATGTTCGTGATATAAAAGAATATATTGAAATAATTTATAAATATTTGAACAAAATCGTTGATAATCATATTGATTTTTTAAAGAATAAGTTAGCTGAAAAAAAATGGATTTTAAATGAAGATGAACTTTATTCAACCGAAGCACTAGTATTTGATCTTCCTAATATTATTAGGGGTTATAAATGGTTTCAAGTTTCAGATCATAATAAAAATTATTATTCACAACTTCTTAAGAAGCTTGGAGTTAAACAAAAACTGAATAAGCAGGATTATTTAGAAATACTCCAGGGTTTAAACTTTGAAAATAATAAATTCATGGTAGCAAGAATACTTAAGCTTTTATCAGAATGTGGAGAGGATTTGAAAGGGTTACCAATTCCAAATATGCGTGGTCAGATGATAGTTTATGAAAAAATTTTTTTCAATGATATTAATAAAATAAATAGTGTATTAATAGATAGATACAGTGATATCCTAACACATGAAGTCATCTCAAGTGAACTAGCAAAGGCACTAGGGATCAAAAGCTTCAATGAAGATTTCTTAAGAAAAAAGATGAAGACCTATGACCATGAAATATTTACAACAAATTTTAAAGATACACTTAAAGTATGTATATAAAAGGGTATCAAACATTTTTTCAGTAAAGTAATAAATGTTTTATATTAATATATATTATTATTTTATTAGGAATTTGATAATGATGTATTGGTGTTTCAAGAATTTCTTAAAAATGCAGATGATGCAGGCGCAAAAAGATTCATTATCATTCTCGATGAAAGTGATTATAGGAAGAATAATAATTCTAAATTATTCAAGGAAGATATGAAACGTTGGCAAGGACCTGCAATTTGGATATTTAATAATGAACAATTTTCTGATGATGATTTCAATTCAATTATCAATTCTAATTGTAACAAGAACCCCGACAAAATTGGTAAGAGAGGACTTGGGTTTATTTCCTGTTATAATTTTACAGATTTGCCACAATTGATATCAGGAAATAGAGTTGTATTTCTTGATCCTCTAAAGGAACTTCTTCCTGATAATATATGCATCGGCAGTTTTGACTTTCATGATTACGATAGTGAAAATGTATCTCATATCTTTAATGTATATAAAGATCAGTTTGAACCATATTTAATGCTTAATGGAAATATATTTAAACTTGACTTTAAGGACAAAGAATTTAAGGGAACCTTGTTTAGGCTACCGCTTAGAACAACAAAAAGTAAAATTTCTAATAAAACATATAAGATTGATGATATTATTAAAAATACATTGGACACTATAAAGAATAAAATAGCATCAGAATTAGTCTTTTTAAGAAATATAGAATCGATTGAAGTTTATCGAAAAAGATACCCGAACATTGAAGCAGAAACTTTATGGAAGGTAGAGATTAAGGGGAATAATCCGAATCGCAAATTCTTGGGGGAAATATTACAAGGATTTCAACTTGATATGCAATTTACTGAAAGAAACGGTTCAAAAAATGAAAAATGGATTATATGTTCAGGAAAAAGATTTGGTTTAAATTATAAAAACATCCCAAGTAGTACTTGGGGTGGAGTAGCAACAATTATTTCAAATATTTCAAATATTTCAAATAATTCAAATAATTCAAATAATTCAAATAATTCAAATAATTCAAATATTTCAAATATTTCAAATATTTCAAATATTTCAAATATTTCAAATATTTCAAATATTTCAAATATTCTTGATGGACAATATTACTCATATCTTTCACTTAATATCTCTACGGAGCTTCCTCTAAATTTACATTCAAATAATTGGGTGCTTTCTCCAGATAAGCACAGTCTTGACAAAAATAATGCATTACAAAATAAGAATATTTTAGTTGAGGTTCTTCCTCAACTTCATGTAAAACTTTTTGAAGAATACATAAATTGTATGAATAAAAAATACAACAAACAAGTTATTTCTGAATTTTGGCCAATTCCAAAAAATGGAGATCCTCAAATATTACAATATGGAAAAAAAGTGCTCGAACTTGTATCTCAAGGAACTAACGAGATATTTTGGTCTCCCTCTAAAGGTGGATCATATGTTAGTTTTAAACATAGTTGTTTTATAAACAATTCTACACCAGGAAATATTATTACTTTCCTTAATGAACACGGGCATTCCACAGTTTTATTAAACCCCGAGCATTTAAAAGCATTTGAAGACTTAAGCATTATTAAACCTCAACGAGATGATCCCCAACTTATTCGTAACATTCTTAAAAGAAACAGATTTGTATTAGATCCATCTAATTTGATTCTTTCTTTTTCTATATTAAATTATATTCTTAACGATGAACGATATGAAGATCTTGAGGGTATTTTTTTAGTTCCATTATTCGAAAATAGATTTGCAGAATTTGCAAGACAAAAAAATTATTGTATTGCTTCATTAGAACAATATGAATTATTTCCTAATACTGGACCAGATCATTTTATTTCGAGTGACATACTAAAAAGAGAGAGGCTATATCAAAAATTCACTTGTACAAAATTTTCTATTGCTACAAAAATTAACCTTTTTGGTGTAGAGTCAATTGAAAAATTTTTAATTAAAGAATTAGATAATGTTTATGAACTAGATTGGAATCCTAACTCACCCGTAATTCCGAATCAAAAATGGCTTAATGAAATATGGAAGTATATATTAAATAGTCCTTTAGAACCATTTAAGTCATTTCCTTTGTTAGAAGTATATAATCCAAATATGCCAGATTCACATAAACTTGTTAGTTTAGCAAATTCAAAATCGAGACCTTTACTAGAATTTACTAATTATTCAAAAGAGGTTCAAGCATTAACAAATATTGGAATTCGGTTTACCAAACATCAATATAATGAAAAGCTTAAAGACTATATTTTAAAACTAGAACCAGATAATATTTTACTTGCTATTGAAAAATATGATTGTCGAGAAAAACTTTTAAGTGATAAAGAATCTAGAGAGATCTTGAGTCAATATTTTTATAAATATTTGTCATTAGCAAATATTAATGGGTATAAAAATATAAATGTATTGAAACAATTACCTATATGGCCAACACATACTAGAGAACTCGGAAATACGATATATAAGTCAATTTATGATTATAATGCATATTTAATACCAACAAAATCAGATCAATCAAAACCATATACATTTTATCCATTAAAGAAGTGTAATACTTATTATTACGATACAACAAATCATCCAAATATGCGAAAACTATTAGAATCTTTATCTGCTAAGAAACAAAGTAAAATAAATTATATAAAAGATACTATTGTTCCTGGTATGTCGATTCCTCAATCAATGCAAGATAACTATTTAAAATTCTTGGTCGATATATTCACTGACGATGATAACATTAATGAAATCAAGAATTATGTCCAGGAATTAAAAATTATTCCAAATAAAGATTTTGAACTTTTTTGTGCAAAGGACTTAGTTGATCAAAACAACCATTTATTAAGGAGTGTATATGATGGATCCAATCGATTTCTTCAAATTAGTCTTCAAAATAATCAAAAATTTGTTGAAATGCTTAAAAAGATAGGGTTTAAGAGCACTATAACTCCTGATGTATTTATTGAGTGTGCAGAGGAGATTCAAGCCAATTTTAAAAATGAAAATGATCAACTCAAACAAAAAAAAATTAAAAAGTCAGCAAAGGCAGCTATTTCCTATTTTTATGATAATCAGTCCGAGTTAAAGCCTTTAAAGGAAAAATGGAATTTATTATCAAAAATTGAATTTATTCCAATTTCTAAAAAACCTTTAAAGGTTCCATACTCATATAATTGTAATAATAATGGCGGAGAATTACAAAGTTTTGAAAATTTATGTCTTTCAAAATATAGAAATCTCGCATGGACACAATTATCATTCTTTAAAAATGAACCAAATGAAAACGTTTTAAAAAATTATAGCGATCTAGGTTCACCAAATATCAAAACAATGATCAATCATTTAAGGACTATCCAAAAAACGGTTTCTAAATCAATCGAATGGAAACAAAATGATAAAAATGGTAGTTTGCTATTTGAAGCAATTAAAGATATTTATGAAGCATTAGATTTACAATGCGTTGTGAATAGTGATGAATTATTGTCTTGTTTTCCTAAAGATGAACCGCTCTTTTTAAATAGTACAAATCCATATGATTCACAAAGTTGGGTTGTTGCCTCACACATTGACATGAACATTCAAAAAGACTTTAGTCCAAAAAGAAGAGTCGCTGCAGAATATCTTCGAAAATATGAAAAGCTTTTAATTTTAGCTGAAGTAGGTTTATTTGAACTCCCTGGCTGGCTGAAACCTGAACCTGTTATAGAAAATTTCCGACAGCTATCAAGGTCAATTATGAAATTTTTAAAAGCAGGAAATAAAACACCATTCAATAATGTTCTATTTCGAATTAAAGATCAAGAAATTTATGCAAACTCATCAATATTAGTTTGTGTAGCTCCATATTTTCAAGAATTATTTTTCGAACCAGTAACAAAATTTGAACTAACATATGAAGATATTGAACCAAATTCATTTCGTATATTATTAAATTGGTTATATGGGGAATCATTCTCTCAAGCTGTGCGCAGCAATGGAGATAAAAAATATGATGATAAATTTTTCCAAACTTGCAAGGATTTACTATTTGCTTCTAAAGAATTTAAACTTGAATCACTTAAAGAATTAATGGAGCATGAATTAGTTAAATACATTCTAACAGATTTAGTTGACGATACTTTAATTAATGTTAAAGGATTGGCAGAGGAATATAAATTGAACGAACTTTTTAAATATTGTGAAGAGTTAGAAAATGAAATGGCTAAAAGAAGTAATTTATTTATTAGATTTAAAAATAATAATTTTATATTAAACGAAAATCCAGTAATGAAACATTGTCGTAATTCTATAAAGTACGGAAAGTTGTATAAAGAGTCAAGAAATGGCAAATATTATGAAGAAAGATACATTGCATTTAAAGATGGAATATTATATTGTTTTAAAAATGAAAGAGATGTCACAATAATGGAACGAATCAAGATAACGAAAATGTTTAAAGTCAAAATTATTGATGATAAATCCAACAAGAATCGTTTTGAGATCGGAAATTCAACAGAGACGTATAGGTTTAGTGCATTATCTAAAGCAGAACAAACTGTCTGGACAGATAAGATTAAGCAATACATTAATAGCCTTTTAGATGAAGAAAAGAATCAATTGATAAAGAGGTATTAATATTTATATCCGTAAAATCGAATTTACAAAGCATAATGACAATATTAATATATTATTTTTAATAATAGAAAGAGCGAACAAAGAAAGGAAACAAGAGAATTCTGTCAAGATGAATCAGAAATGATTTATACTAATGTGGTGAGAGAATTTCCGGATTCTCTCAAAGCTGGAAAATTGCTTAAAGAATCACAAATTCTCAAACGTTATGAGGAACGATACTTTATATTCCATGATGGAATGTTGTATTATTTTAAAGATGCTGAAAACAGAAAATACATTAAATTAGAAAAGACATCCAAAGTCAAAATAGTCAATAAACATAGATTTGAGATTGAAACATTATCAAGAACCTATAGGTTTTGTGCTTTATCCGAAGAAGATCAAATTGAATGGTGCTCTGTAATTCAGGAACACATAGATAAATTGCAAGAACCATTTTTTGAAGAAAAAGATCTTTATTACGATGAAAATGACTTTGCAGAAACTTCTAATTCTGGTAATATAATTATTATAAAACTATTATATAATTATTATATATATTGATATTCTAACTTTTATTTTATATTTTGTTTTTTATGCATAAACAAAGCAGCCATTAAGAAAATCCAAACAACAACAAACCGCATATTATCTGATAGACCTGCCCAAGTCCAGTCAAATGATAGTAAGTTATTAGTTGATTATTAGGTTTTAGAAATTAATTTTAAATTTTTTTTGTTAATAAAGAACCACTTCCACCACTTCCATCGAACACGAGGACTTGGACAGATCGAACTGGTTCATTCCGAGTTGAAGCAGAATTTCCTCAATTTGTTGACGACAAAGTAAAACTCAATGGCAAAAAAATTGCTGTTCCCATTGATCGGATGAGCAAAAAAAACATTGCATATCCTGAGGAAATAACGGAAGTGAAACTAGATAACAAATCTAATAATAATGCTTGGAACTTTACTAATTCAACTCCCGCATTAGCACCTACTTCAACAGTGGTGCCACCACCGCTCCCTTTTCCACCTGCAATCACTCCAAGACCTCCTCTAACCCCCTCCTCCAACAGCAGTCACACTAAGACCTCCTCTGATTCCCTCTTCAACCGGCAGTCATTCCAAGACTTCCTCCTCTAAATAATCAATTGGCTAGACAAATACTTCCACAAATTTGGATACTAATGCTTTGACTTCTTTAAGTCCTGCTGTTTCTTCTTATTCCAGCAATTCTAGTTATTTGCTTAAAATTATAATCATTATAATTAAACAAAAGAATATGAAAAAAATCGTTAGATTTAATTGTTTTTTCATGAGTAGTAAGATATCGATTAAGTTCTATATTCCAATAATCCGTTAATTTCTTTATCCAGAACTTTAGTAATAGCCTTATTTGTGATAGTTGAATAATCATTCATAAGTGTCTTTAAAAGATTAGATACAGTATCGATTAACAATAAAATAATATAAATAAGTGTATTCAGATTTTAATTAAAAAATGACTTGTAAAGCATGATGATAATTGCACGATAACATCAATATTGGATCATGCGATGATAAAATTTCATGCTATTAATTGTTGCATGACCAATATCATAATAATTAAAATTTTATAATTAATTAATCCATTGGACATGTATCAATTTCTTTAGCAAGAATATTGATGCAACAGGAGGAAACGTCGATGTTACACGATTGACTCTTCACTCGGTGTGCAACATATAAAAAAAATTACTTTGCAATCATTCCGCCAGTACATGTTATGGGATTATAATCATAACATGTACTAACGGAATGATCTGGTATGTTGCGTACCGGGTGAAGGATCAGTTGTAACATCGATGTTTCCTCCTGTTTATTGATGCTCAAGTTTTAATATGGAATATTAGAATATTTTCGGTTTCCTAGCCTGCTTTAAATCTTTGTAGAATCATTTTCTGCTTCAATATTACCTATAAAAGCAATAGCTATTCTTTTAATGGCATGTTTACAGTAGGTAGTTATTCCATGCGTTTTTATATCTGAGCTAATTTAAAGTGTGATAGGGCATAAGTATTTTTTTCTTTTAAGACTGCGGCATTGCCTTAGAATACGTAATATATATGGTACAATAAATAACATTACAATACAGATTTTCTTTTTATTATTACATGGTTATAAATAATTTAATCCATTTATACTTTGCTGACTTAAGGGTCTTACCTATAGATGTGCGGATGCAAGTTTTTTTGGCTTTGCATACATAATGCAATATTATGTTACATTGCATTATATAATATACTGTGGACCTCTCAAAACCTATATGCAGTGAGCAGATTTTAAATTATTACTGAGAGGTTGTCGGATTTGAAAATGTAACTATTTGATTTATAGTGAAAACTAACCTGGTAGATTAATTTTTATTGGATTTTACTTTGATAGGAACAAGTATCTATAAGTGATTATTAATGAAATAACATAGATCAAAATTACATTATAGGTGGATATGTTACGCATCATTTTTGTAATTTGTTGATTATGAATTGACGACTGTTATTTTTTAATCTCCACCGATTGAAAAGTAACTTGGGTCAATCATGATGTATTTTATATTACAGTAATGAACATATATTATGGGAATATACAATTACATAATATAATATTACGCATTTTGTCGATAAGCAAAAAAAGTATATGAAAGTATATTGCGTATTTATTAAAAATTATGGTTTGTACAATATATTATTCTATTGAATTTCTTCTATATTATTCTATTGAATTTCTTCTATATTATTTTATTGAATTTCTTCACAAAAGATTCAATTTTTTGATTTTATTTCTTTTTGTGTATCTCATAAAATTCAT